ATGTAAATGGCCCAAACTGTAGGTTGTCACTTATCTTTAAGTAAAGATATTGAAACTGAACAGTTAGAAAAACTCTGTTTAGGAACTTCTGAACCTCCATTGTAAATGGAAGTAGGAGGGTAAGTGCAGGTAATAAGAAAAGATTGTAAAGCTTTTGAGTCTTTTTCTTTTTAGTCCACCTAAAATTCGTGTCTGTTAAGTTCAGCCTTTGTATGAAAGGAGACAAAGTGTATTTTGACACGATATTCTTTTGTGATACTTCTTCTGCTGTATGTTTAACAAGCTTCAGATGTACAATATTTACATTCAGTAGAACAAAGTTGTTTTATAAAGGCTATCAATTATACTTTTTTTTAAACGGTATGTTTGATTGTCACTGGATAAAGAATGATTATTTGTCCATATCTGATTACTACTTAAAAGCAGGAAAAATAAAGGAAAAAATGCTGCTACAGGAAAAAAAGCTAAAAGCACAATTTAAATATAGTCAGTTGTGACACACATACCTCCTAGCATCCATACCTTTCCCTGCTCATGCCTCCACCACTCGTCTGGCTGATGACCTCAGTGCGTGTGCGTTTGGGGGCAGACTCATGTCACGGCATCAGCCCCCTGTGTCCTTCACTGGGAGGAGCACGATGGTTGTGGTGCGGGATCCTTCCTCCCCTGTGCTAGGAGGAGAATGATACTGAAGGCCTCTTCCTCCTTGCTCCAGGCTCCCCTTGGGGCCATCTCTATGTTTCTAACAAACTAATACGTCTTGTTGTGTTTTCATTGGTCTGCAACTCCATGTTGCATCCAAAAATAGTTACTTGTTACCATCATCTATATGAAAAAATTAACCTTACCAGCACCTCCTATAATTATGTGGGATTAAGTAAAGTAAAACAAATTAGGCACTAGCCACCTTGTCATTAGGAGAACCGCTGCTAGAGTGAAACAAGATCAAAACAAGCTCCAGGCAGGCCAGGAGATTCCCTGCCCAAACCTGGCAAATCCTGATACCTTGACAGAGCTAGCGCGAAGCCAGTAGCCTCTCGCTGGCAATGGCAATACTGCACTTATTGAGCTGCACTGCTCCGCTCCTAGCTTGAGGGGGTTGGTTTGGGGAAAACATTTCCTCATAAAGCTCTTGTGTCTGAAAGTCAAGACTCTCTCTTACAGCTTAAGAAATTTTATTCTGCAACCAATGGAGAGAAGGACTTGCTGCCTGGCAGTGTAGGAAGACATTATTGCATTTGTCAATGGTTAGCTCTGGCTCCATCCATGATCTTATTTCTCCCATCTAAATTCCCTTATATAGGATCTGTTATATCATGAATTCCTGATAGTTACGAGTGTCATGGAGTGGATTTATATTCAGGAGAGAATGACAATGATAAAAACATTCATTTCCTGGCAACTTCAAGTTGTCACAGAGATGTTTTAAGACACCAAGGAACAGAAAACCATATATTAGTTTTTACTCTGCTGCTTTTATATTAATCTAATGAAAGTCAAAAAGCATAGATGAAGGTTAAAAAAACACTTTACTAATAGCTGAAGCTAGTGCAACATACTTAATTTTTTAATTATCCTTTGATCTTCTTTCCAAATGTTAAAAAATAGCTGCAGTGTTTAAAAAAAAAAAGCATAAAAATTTGCATTGTCAACATAGCATGATTTTGACATTTTAAAGTACAGTCAGTTAGTATTAAAGGTTTTGAGATTTTTTTGTTGTTGTTATTGCCAGCCCCATACTGCTTCTGCATTGAGAGTTGCCATTCAGTCCACTGAAAAATGTTCTCTTTGTCCTGCTCTTTTTTCCCCACTCTGTTCAGTCTGGACCTGATATCAGCTTGCTTTCGTTTTGTGCAAGCAGTTGCATTTCAGTAGTTTAGGAAACTGACAGGCAGCGCAGTTCAAGAAAACATCTGTGATTGTTTTTATTTGCACTTTGGCTTTACAATTTTTTGTGCTTGCCTGGATTTACACATTTGGAGCTGTTGTTTAAATCCATCGAATTAATATGTCCCATTTATTTTCATTAAACGCTATTTTACACTTTCTGCATGGAGGAGATTGATGGAAGGGTAAATGAAGCCTCCATCTTAAAAATTGCACATGGCATCTTTTTCTTCAAGGAAGAGAACACCTTTCTTTCGGACGTATTCCTTTTCATCCATACAGGGGCTGCGCTACACTCATAATAATCATGTAACAAGTATTGAACTGAATTAGATATCCAAGTGAAGATACAGTTCAAAATTGTTAAGACTCTTAAAAGACTTGGAATTGTCCTAGTGCTCAGATCCCATTTTGGATATTCCCAAGAGGAAACAGGAAACTTCCTGTACTACTTTATTCATAGATATCTTTGTGCCAACCTCCAGATTATACTGTCTTCACTGCAGAAACAGAATTTTATGGATTCTGGATTTGCATGAGCTGCTGAGTATTGCAAAATGGTCAGTCAGCTACAGTGAGGTAGCTTGTACATCTGTGAACGTATGTTTTGTTGCTTTCACCAAACTACAGTTTATCTTCTAATTTATTATACTACTATTGTAGTTTTAATTTTTGGGTGCTAGAAATAGCAGAGAACAACTTGAGTCACTAACTAATTACATTACGTTAATCTACAGCCTGGGAAAGAAACTTTTCCTATAGCTGTAAGGGGCAATGTACTAGGCTTGTCTCACAGAAGTTTGCAGAACTTTTAGAAATCACATATTCTTTGTGCTGAATGTTTTATGCTACTGAGAGTATTGAATTTTGCTGTTTTTTTTTTTTTGGGGGGGGGGGGCTTCCAAAAACAGAAGATAAAATCCACTATGTTTGCAAGCTTCATGACTGTTTAATTATCCAAAAGGTTTGTCAGAGTGAAAAAATAGACATGTATTTAAAGTAGTACCTCTTGCCTTTATTTGAGGTGCATCTGTTCAGGTAACTCATGTTTAGCAGTGATAGCTTGGTTGTTGTCCAGCAGTTTAATTAGCACTTGTTTACCTAATCTCTTATAATAGATAATGTTATTACTGAATTCAGGGACACTGAAAATCCCATATCTGACAAAGCAGGCTTAATAATGACAATCACTGTTTTTACATGGTATTTATCTTGGCAAAAACACCGTCTAGAACACATACATGTTTCTCAAGCTAGAAAACATGCAGTTCAAAGTTGCAGTCCCTGGGTTGTTCATTCTTCAGAAAAATAGAATTGAGCAGGAATTAAAATTGAATGAAAACTTGAATGGGAGTTGAAGAGAAGGACAAAGTGCACAGCACAGCATCATTTTCCAGACAGATGTTAATGTGCTTCTCACTGGGTGAAACAGATCTGCTGTAATATTTGTCTGTGGATTTTGAAATGTTTTGGGGCAGATTATCCATGTAGCATTGAGGCGGTACTTGAGCCCCTAGGTTGGTTTTGTTACCTGATTTTTTCCGAAGCATGCAGGCTGGCTAGCTTGACTCTTGTTTGACAGCTGCCAAGAGCTGATTTTTGGAGACTGACAGTCACAGGGGTTTTGTTTCTTTTTTGGTGAAATTAAAAAAAAACATACTCGATTAGTGTTTCTGATGTCCTCCCCGTCTCAGCAGGGGAGTGGGGAACGGGATAAAGACAAGTATGTTGTTAGCAGGTAGACATGGACCATATGACTGAAAAGTTGGGATCTGATTTTCTTTCTCTGGAAAACTGAGAGTTGGTTACTCTGTCCTTTTATCAACAAAGAAGTCAGTTGGCTTTTGAACTGTCTTTCAATTTATTTGTAAAAGACCCTAAAGTGCCAGTTACTTTTCTTCCGTTTAGCAAGCTGAATCTATCAACATCTTGCAAATAAATGACATTTACAAAACCTGAATTGTGCATTTAAATGTTGCTACTTTTGCAGCACACCCCAAGTGTATTCTTTTAATGAAACCTGAGAAAACCTTCAAAGAAATAACAGAATGATATAAAATGACCATATTTAAGGAGAACAAAAAGATTTCTTTAAGGATTTATTAAAATCAGTAAGGTCCTTTTTAATTTTTTTAATGACAATGCTAGAGCCACCTGATACACACCTACTTGTATCATCATTACTTGAAGCTGTTATTTTCTATGCTGCTGTTTTCTAATTTCTTCTTAAAGTACAAAAATTAATACAAAACATTATACTTTTAATATATTGTTATGCTACAAATATGCTTCTTGGTGTGGATGGTAAGTTCTGACCTGTTCATTGTATTAAATTGATCAAGATACATCTTGATGAGCTGAGTTGTTTTCTCTCTTCTGCATTTCAGACAAGCACAAGAGATGAGCATAAGCTGGTTGTAACATCCCTTCCAAATTGTTAGTTGCAGAAAAGGAAAAATAAATGACATATACTTGCACATAGAGATGGATGTAGACATAAACTGACCACAGATACATTTAAGGTATAAATTAAATTTGGAATATGAATTACAGGATAGTTTCTAAACATTAAAGGGAGGAGGTTCTGAAGCACAATTTCCAGGAGGAATTTCAGAACAAACTATTTAAGTGACCTTGAGATAAGGTAACAGAGATTCTTAAATTAATATTTAATTGCTTGAGGTGATAGACAACTAAACCACTGACCTAGAAGTTCCAGCCCAGCCCTGTTATTAAGAACAGTGAGTTATTTTGGTGGAACACATTAAAAGGAGAAAAAGTAATGATTTTTTTTTTCTGATTTTAAATACTATAGGTGTTTAAAGGTGTACCTAGTAGACACCCTTTGCAGTAATGTGTAGGAGTGGTTTTACTTTCTGGTATAACTGAGTGGACTTGACTTGTGTTCTTTCTACATACTTCATTTTATTTTGGTCTTGCAAATTTTTATGTGAAAGGTTAGTTTCTTTAATGTCCAGTATTTATACATCTTCATTTTAGATAAATGGATCTCATGATGTCAGGAATTATCTACTGGAAGATAGAACAATGTTTTTATACACAGATTAAGTAAAAAGCTAAGCAGTTGTTGACAACTCAAAAAAAAATGAGAAATATTAATTTATGAAAACTTCAATTTCTCATGTATTTTTCTTGACAACTTTTCCTACCCTGTGCTATGTAATGTTTTTATTTTTTAAATTCTAGAGTTTAATTTGCTATCTTTTATCTACAATGACTAACTTTTGTAATATTACACTATGTAGATGGTCATCTATTTAACAGAGTCTATTTCACAAAGCAAGTAGTAATTATAAACGTTTGCCTTGATGAGAGTATAGATATTTAAATGGGTCTTGTAAACATGCTTTCCACAATAGGTCTTCAGGGTATTTCAAGCTGGAGGCGAAAGAAAAGGCACATAACATCATTAGTTATTTTTAAAAACTTTTATTTCTTTGTCAATATATTTAATTGTGTGGTAATAGGAGCTATTTGATATAAGCATCAAAAGTTTTAATTGTACACAATATTTAATAATTTTATATTGTTACATTGGCTATCAGGGGGGGGGGGGGGAGAGACAAACAAGCTTAAAATTCCCTAAAACAAAAAGTGGAGAAGTCAAAGATTAAGTCAAAGATTAAGTCAACCTTATATGTACATTAATTCTGAGATATCCTTATCAAGTTGAAATTTTCAAATATGCCTGGAACATATCTCTCAAAGAACAACAGAAAAATGTTGTATTTCCCTTTTGCCTAAGGGCAAAATCACTGACTCTCGTGGGCATGTAGTTTTACCATACTTGATTGCAGTGGGCTTCTCTATTTTTTTTTTTTTTTTATACAAATGCAGCTTCTAATACATACCAGTTTCACACATTCCGGTACAACTCATCCGTTGTGCTCATCCCCTCTAGCAATACCAGGGCAAAAGGCAAGACCACAGCACAGGAAACCGTACTCTAATAAAAAAAGAATAGTCCTATCAAAATGGCTTCAATTACAAGCACTTAACAGTGCGCTGAGAGGGAAGGAAAAAAGAACTTCATGAGTCTTGAGATTCCTGAGCAAGAAGTCAAGCCAGGGAAGACCAAAAATGCCTTTATGGAGAAGGAGCTTTCCAGTGAAAGTAGGAATTTTTACTGGATAATGCGAGTACATGGGTTGGTACTACAATTTCATGAAGCAGGGCACGCTCTAAACTCTGGATTTGTTATGAATAACAACAGTATTTGACCATTTTGCCACAAACAAAGGAGACAGTTTTCAGGTCTTAGGAAATGTTTCATTTTGAGACTGATAGTTTACATTAAATTCTATTTTATCATACAATACAATGACTACAAAATAAAATAATTTCAAATGGAAAAATGCAAGTATTTTAGGAGTTCGGTATTTAATACTGTCTACTTGCTTTCTTTTCCAACTTTTTTTCAGAAAGGAATTTTGATTAAGATTGACACAACTTCCGAAACAGTGAATTTCAATGAACTGAACAGAGAGATAACACTATTGGAGTTTCTGCAGCTCCCTCTTTAAAAAGCTGAAGATACATGTATAGTCGTAGAGATAGAGTGAGATGCTGAACAGTAGAAAAAAAAAGAAAGAGAAGTTCTCAGGACTCTAATTCCATTTTTACATGGTGATTATAATGAGTTAATGGAATAAAGTGCTTTGGAAAGTGGCCTGCCTAAAATGTCGCTATATAATTGTGTACATAAGGTGAGTTTGGAGTGTGAGATTACTGTGAATTTTGAGAAGAAAAATAGAGGGTTTTTTGAAGGTTGAAAGAGAAATCCAGAAGGGATCACATTTTTTCTTTTCTTAGTTCATGTGAAAGATGATTTTTTTCAGAAAAAAATCAGTTCTGCTCTGAAGATATATTATGTTAACTCCGGAAAATAGATTCAATCAATGGAGTGTGAAATGGAAGGATTTTAATCCTGCTTTAAGTGCAAATCTCAATGCAGCCTTAACTACCGAGTTACTAATAACATTTCTATAATAATAAAAAGCCATATCATCTAGAGTGCATATGTAATCATGTAAAATGTTCCAAATTAATTGTGGGACCTGCGTTTTAGTTTTGAACATTCATTCCCTGCAGTTAAAAATAACCTTTCCTTCTTTTTTCTACCGCCATTTACAAAATCAACTCTGAGGAAACAGAAAACAACTCTCCGGAGGATGAAAGTTGGGTGAATCTTGGGATTGTTACTTATGTGCCTCATCCAATTTATTTGCTTTAATATGTATGTGTAGTAGTATACCATATACCATAAAGTGAGGTTTAATTCCATCAAAGTTTCACACATACTACTCAAGGGATATTTTTTTGTTTTATTTCCTTGGCTACCATTTTTGGTTGGTGCAACATTAAAGAACTTAGAATGGTTACAAGTTACCATTTCAGGAGATACCTTATATTACATTTTCTTTATTCTGGCTTGCTCTTTGTAGCCTGAACATCATACTATGACTTGTTATAAACAAAAATAACCCTACAGAAAACTTTTGGCCTTAAATTCAAAGGGTTGCTGAAAGTAAAGAGATTTCTAATGGAATCTTCCGCTTCAGGTTCGTTTATATTAATCAGGTCTTTTCAATAGATCTATAATCTCTTTTCATGCTGATGGAAGACTTCGTTACCTATAGTTAAGCAACAAGCATAATTAAACTTTTTCCTCAGGTATGTTTAGTGCTACAAAAGATCAAGCCTTAGCGAAAGGTGGTAATTAAACTGCTGATGACCCTTGTAAGAGCTAAGTTTACTTACAGACAGCAGCACAGCAGTGTAGAAAACATTGCTCAGCTGGAGACAATTTTATTACCAAAGACAAGTTTCCCTTGATATTAGGAAAACTATCTTGAGGAGAAGCTTGAGAAGTAGTATTTCTTACTCTGTTTACAAACCCAAGTGTAAAATAAGACTCAAGCGTCAAATGGGAGACGCACACGACTTCTCCTACTGCTTGGCTAATGTGCTGCAAAAGTACCCTGTGAAAAGCCATTCTGAGCTACTGGAGGGGGGGGGGGGGGGGGGAAGCAATGAATGAGGGGTTGATGCAACTTTCTTCAGTGCTTTCAGAGAGCAAGCTGCTCTTCAATATGCAAGTGGAAATTATTCTTTGCTCTGAGATGCCTGCACTGATGGTCGTGAGCTTTGCAGCGCTCCAGACCGGAAGCTTCATACTCTCACTAGCACAGAGGACTCCCAGCCTGAACTATAAAATTTAACAGCTCGTGCACTGGGCTAATATGTGGCTGACTTACGTCCTCTCAGCTCAGGTCAGGGTAAAGTGAGCTCACCTTACTCTGCCTTATAAATGCATATATGCTGAGGGGTTTTTTTCCACTTGGGATAAATGTGGGGGAAAATATATGTATGTAATCACAAATTCACAAAACTAGAATTTCCAAGTTATTTTCATTTGAATTCATAGAATCTGCAGGAAGTCCAGACAAAATTAGTATCTTGATTATCACAAAGAACTTTGCACTGACTTGAAATTTCCTTCCCGTGTTTGAACCGTTAGAAATTCAGAAGTGAACGTTGCAATTTTAGGCTCTCCTCTATCTTCTTGCATCTTTCTACCAGAGTTCACAGTCCTCCCCAAGAAGAAAATAAAGGAGAGAGACCTTATACTAATCAATCAGTAAATCAATCAAAGGCATAAACTTAGTGTTTGAAAGTTTTCTACATTCAAAGGTCTCACATGCCCCAGAAAAGGAAAACTTGGGGGAGACGATAGGAACTCTTCTAGGAGATTCTTTTTTTTTATTGTTGTTGATTTTATATGAAAAAGGCTTGGATGCTGTAAAAAAGAACAATATAAAAAAAGAGGAACACTTGCCACTGATAAATAAGCATGCTTGATTATTATCAATCATGATGTTCTTTTTGCTCTCTTTTCCTTTTCTGGCTTTCAGGATTATCCAGTCTTGTTTCTATCTCTTGCCTTTAATATACCAATTTTTCTAGTGCATCGCTCACTTGGTTCCTCTTGGTTGTGTGCTCTCTAGTTTGGGGTGGAAAAAAGGAGGGAGAGAGGGCTCCCCCTTTCTAACAGTAAACGTCCCTAGTCCTTTTCCCCTCTACCTTTGGATGTATAATCACAATCCAGTTACTGGCTCTGTGGATGATGGGATCGATGCCTGTTTGTCTACTTTAGTCACCTCTCCTTTCCTCTGGCATAAATCTGAGTCTGTGTTTGTACTTTCTACATGTTCCCTTCTGACGTTATTAGCAGCAGGCTACGACACCGGTGCCCCTCGGCTTGCACAGCTCCAGGTTGTACTGAAATTTCAGTCTCATCAATATTCCTTACTCAGTGCAGCAAAACTCAATAATTAAAGGGTGTGTTTTTGTGTGCATATATGTGCTGAGCAGGAGAGGGAGGGTGGATGGAAGGTGGATTAGTTACTAAATTGAACAATCCCTGAAGAAATTTTAAATAGTCACAGATCAAAAACTATTTCAGCTGGGTGACCTTATCTTGAAAAATATACTAGTGTTTTCTTTGCCTTAGTACATTTGAGATAGTATAAAGCCTGCACAGAGATCAAACAGAGTGAGGCATCACTCAATAAAAGTTGCTCTCAGTGGAATATTTGGGTTATAAGGTACGCTTACAACCATTTCTAATTTCATTGAATTCCTTTATAAAAATGTTCATTCCTTCAGTGACTGGAATGGCTCAGTAGGAGTTTGTAGGCTAGTTTCTTTAGTTATAAATAACATAGACACTTCTACTTCCTTTTTTCGTTAGTGGGTTTTCAAACATATTCAGAACAATTACTTACTTATAAAATAATTATTTTCCACATAACAGGAATATGACCTCATGCTATATATAATAAAACACAGACAATAAGAGATGTCTTATGATATTTATCCAGTGCCGTCATGCCTGGTGCCTATTTCGAAGTAAAGCGACAATTTCACCTTCTGGCACATGAGCTTAATTGGAAACTTCATCATACTTAGTTTTGTTTATTTTAGGGCATTTTGTATTTCATAGGAAAAATAACTCTTCTTTTAAAGAAAAAAACAATCTAGCAACAAAAATTGGTGCTGGTGGCAGGGGAAGGATATCACCACGATCCTCTTTGATACTATAATTCCTACTCGTGTTGTTTTCAAATGTGTGCCGGGCTTCTTTGAATGATATATCCTGTAATGGTCAATTTAATGACAAGTAAGAGAGAAGACTGTACTGTATCTTAGAAGGTTAATCTAAGACTAGGCTAGCTAAGAAATCTGTCTGGCCCATAGAAGACAATGAAGTATGCTATTCAATTCTTTGAAGCGTAGTAGTAGAGTTCTGAAAACTGGAATTGTAATTTTTTTCTCTGGAAAACATTTGACTGGAAAATTGAAGATTTTGGGCAAATAAAAACAAATCATACACAGGGTTTTTTTTTTTTTTGAGGCCTGTTGATGAAATTAACTGTGGTGCATAGCATAAGGAAAGCTGACAGCAGTAACAAAAAGACCACTCAGCCCTAAACTGAAACTTTTTTTTGCTGTTAAATTTTGCTGTAAATTTAATCCTGGTTTTGACACATGAATTGCTCTGTCTCTGGAGATAGCTGCACTTGTTACCCAACATTGTTTGTCTAGGGCTACCTATCGTTACTTTCCTAGCAAATGATGTCCCATCTCCCAGCCAAATTATTACACCAAGGAAGATGAAACTTCTCTCTAGATGATTAGCAACAGAAACAGGAATAGAATGACTACTCTGCAAATATAGTACAGACGTAGAACATACAGACTGAATATGCAGGGAAAAGAATGAAGTGGGAACCCACTGCTGCACTGAATTCTCTACTTCCTGCCTTGAGAAATGTCAATAAGAATTCAGAATGCGCTTTGCCTGTCTTATAGGCAAACTTATAACTATAGAGCTAGTGCAACACTTTCTGAAACAATCTTTAATATATTTTTTGATGTTCATTGCTACCTGTAAGAATTAAGTTTTCGATGGGTGTATGCTGCATTACATAGACTGGGAAAAGCCTTAGACTGAAGAGAAGTAGAAACATAGCTTTTGAAGTAAGTTTGACCCAATTTGTGACATTTCATCCTGAAGTGAATTAAAACAATTATTGAAATAAATCGGCATAAAATCACATTTGCTTTTTTTAACTTGGAGATTGTGATTTGGATGTCCGAAGCCCAAATCCTTTCTCATTGCAGCTTCCATGCTGAACCCTATATCCACTTATCATTTAGATGTTTTTCTTCATTTATCATGAGGTTTTCTGAATGGAAGGATTTTGTGTGAGATGACCACTAAGAACCATCATGAATGTGGAAAATCTGAGGCATTTGACCTGACCAGCAGTTGCTGAGGTCCAAAGGCACATTAGCAAAATGCAGTCCCAAGATAAAATAAAAATTATATCTGTTCATTAAACCAGAATGAAAAATTTATTTTCAAAACATCAAAAATTTCTCTTTGAATTGAAGATGACAAATGTTTCTGTTTGAAAATGTTTTCGGTATTTCTTTCCAAAAACGCTTCTATTGTATTCACTGGATGAGGATGTGAAAATATATTAATATATAAGAATATTTATAGGAAAAAAACCCTCTCTTGTTCACATCTTGTTCTTGTTCATATCAGCATGGTCACCTGATCCATAAAGGTACATGAGGAAGCTTTTTATTTGAATCCCATAGGATTTGGTTTCTTGACTCAATTAAATCCATTCTTATTTCATTAGATTTGCTTCAGCCAAAACATTCATGCTAATCTTTAAAGTAAGCCTTGGTTAAAGGAGCAAAGTTTTCTTCTCAAACTCAGATAGTAATGATTTTCATTTCCTTTACCTAATGAGATTAAAGTGCTGAACTACTGTATTACTCTGGTGGCCTCTTTCTCCTTGGTAAGCCGTCTCAAGTGTGGCAAACATGGCATGTGGGAAGAGAGGAAATGTCAAACTGGGGAGCAAAGATTTACAAAATTTAATATCTTTCACAAGCTTTAGCTTCCAGACTTAATATGGACAAAAAAGGGAGGAAAATGCCAGATGCTATAATAATATGAGTCCTTCTAAAAAGAACAAAAAGTACAAACGGATTTATAATGACTTTTTATAATCCCTAGAGTGTAGATTTACTGTAGTTAATATTTTCTCTTTAAAGTTCAGCTAATATTGTTGTTCCTTGCTAAGTCTTTCTGAGGTTCCTATTGGCTTTAAACTAACATGTTTTGTACTTGGTAGTATCTGCAGGAAAAGAACATATATCATTAAAACGTCTTCAGTTAAAATTATTTTCTGTTTCATAAGCAAATGTGTTTTTTGTGTAGCAATTGGATGTTAAATCATCTCTGTATTCCATGCATCTGGAAGATTTTCCTGTAGTTTTGTAAAACATGGCTTTTTTTTTTTTAATTGAAATCTTTTCTATTCCACTTTTTGATAGTCATTAAATAATAGTAATTCTTACATAAAAGGGGACTTGCTTTAATTAACAAATTTCAAATTGACAACAGTTATGTTTCTTATTTTGGCTTGTGGGTGTTTCCTAATTGTCATGGTCCCACGTGCTGCACTGTGTGCTGGTCATAAGCTTCCAAGTGATATCAAGAATTGCTTTTGCTATTGATGGCTTCACAGAGAAACTTTTAAAGGAGTCCTGGAACTGAAAGGAAAGGTTAAAGAAAAGGGAAATGTGTCCCTTTCTATACCTTGGACACTTGTATGTGTATACAGAAAGTATTACACCCAAAATGTCACCATTTCATTTATATTTGTAGGTATGTTTTGCTGCTTGTTCAGATACACACTCACACGACATAGATTTTTCTCCCTAAAAAGGACAAATACTTTTTAAAGCAAGTCTGCCTCTTGCTGAAGAGAGAGCTATGCTGAGGGTGGGTTTATTTCTTTGTGGTTTTTTGTTTTTAATTTTTTTAAAGTCATTACTTACCTCAGTTTGACAGCAGTGCCACGCGGATCCTGGTCTAACCCACTCTGTGGGAAAAGCCGTGCTCTCCTGGTGCAGCTGTGCTCAGTGCTGGGTCGCCCAGCGGTGCTGACCACCGCGGCGGTGCGACAGCACGCAGCCCCAGCTCAGCCGGGGGCATTGCCCGCCCCACGCTCAGCCTCGGACGGCGCCTCTGTCCCGCGGTGCCAGCAGAGGCAGGGGGTTATTCCTCCCTCAAGGCTTTAAAAAGACTGTAGAGAGTTTTAAAAAACACTAATTACCAAAGCCTTACTTAATGGATTTCTGAAGGTGCACTGCACATGTCAGATGAATGTAGTGATACAAATATTGACATCGTGCTCCCAGCCAGGGACTCTGTAATTTCTTTCTGAGTTACTGCGTGGGCAAATACACATGCAGTTAATCAAATGAAGCAGTGACATGCACATGCAAGGAAGGTTATTTAAAAATTCTTGTCAGCTTTGGGAGAATTCAAACAACTTTGTCATACTGACTAAAGAAAAAAACCTTCCTAAAATTGGTTTATGTGATTTATGTTATACTGTATTTTAGCCTCTATTTAATAGCGGATATAGATAGAAATGTCTGTCTGACATATATATGGCTTTAAACCAATAAATATGTATAGTTTGAGTCTAGTAGGACTACCTGTAAACTCTAAATAGTCCCTAAGATCAGTAGGAGTTGGATGCAATTACCATACTTCGGTAAAAATATTGATACTGTCAGTCCAAGATCACGGTTTCAGTATATTACTTCCATCCGAGTATTTTAACAGCGGAAGTAGTATAGAACAGATTAATAAACAGAAATATGTGGTTTTTAGTATGTGTTATTGCAGACAATCTCGTGGCTACATATACTTAATTATATTCTCAGAACTTTTAATCTTTGAACTTTTTAAAGTCAAGTATCCTTTGTTTCAAAATCTGGTTGAAATAAACAGCATTTCTTTGGGTCTCAGCTCTTGTGAAGCACTTATTTATTCTTTTCATTTCCACACGGTCTCAGTCACACAGTCATGTTACTGCAGCTTAAGAAATTTCCATTCTACCGCTAAAGCACACCAACAAGGCGTTTGCACTCTCTTAGGCACACGTGATAATTTGATTAATTTTAATCCTCGTGTATTACGAACTAATCTGTTGAATTACCTCGTGTTTCCTGCAAGTGGAGAGCCTTCACATGTTTAGTTATTATGGTTCAGCTGATATTTAGAAATGTGCCTGTGCAGTTGAGTTCTTTTTAGGAGGAAAATGTTTAAAGGTATGAAGTGCAGCTGCTATACCAATATAAGGAAATCCTCAATCTCTGTCATAATCTCCAAAATGAGGCTACTGTAGAACAGAATGAGTTTTCAGAAGCAGTTTCAATAATAAGAAGAGATTGTGGGAGAGATTAAATAATTTGCCATCTGCTATACAACATGATACACGAGTTTGCTCCAGGGATTCTCCTTGCTTGGATGTCTTCCTTCTAAAAAAGCACCCTAGCTTATCTTTGTTTAATTTTTAGAGATCAGTTTAACCACTCCCCATAGCATTTTCTCTTCAGGTTGGGTGACTATTTTATTGTAGTCATTTGTAATGCAGGAAGGAGATCTAAGACCAACACACCCCAACTCTCCACTTCCTCACCTAGTAATGGGAAAATTCTGTGCATAAGCAGTATAGTGAACAATAGAAATTGTATGACAGTGGCATGAGTAGAAGATATCTTTCTAATTAAATCGTGGCAAGTTTGAGGAGCAGGGAAGGAAGAGACTTGTACTCTTTAGGTGTAGAAAGATCTCAGGCTTCCCTGCTGAAAAAACAGAGGCTGCAGAATTGCCCTGAAATAAAGAAGCATAATAAATACGATAAACAAGAAGCAATTCACTTCTAATGGGCATGAATCACAAGTGCAGTCTAGTCTCGGCCTTTGCAAATAAGACAAACTGCTTTGTGGCTGCTGGTTGCAGTATGTTGCCACCTTTATGCTGTACATGTAAATGCATGGATGGCCTCCGACTCGAAAGTGAATACGTCAAAGAAGGCAGCCTATGCAAACACACAAAACCAAGGACCACAGAGGCCAGAGAGAAATAAGAGCTAGATTTCCTTTAAATATGATTACTAAGACTCTTATTTTATACATCACATTGAACCACAAATGAGAAAAAGCAGAGAGATGGGACTGAGTGGGCATCAGGGAAGAATTCTTGGTTATTTTAGAATAAGACCTATGAAGTTCAACATGCACTCATTCCTCCTTTAGTTGCTGTAACTTGCATAGGATATTTATTCTCTTCTTTCTGAAAATGTTTTTTGTGTTTTAAACTTTTCTGCAAAGTAGTGGTGGTAGTTGCAAGAATTAATATTATTTTAGATAAAAAATACTATTTAATGGGGCTTGTAGGAGAGAGAATCAAATAAAAAATTCCTGCCTATTAGACATAAAAGTATTTCCACTCTTCTCTTTGCTTTATAAAATATGTAAGTAGCCCAATGCCTAGTCATGTATACTTTGTTTCACATTAGCACAGAATTCTGAGGTCAAGAAAAATTATTCTGAAGTCAAGAAAAAGAATATTTTAAATTAATTTATCGCAAACCATAGGTTTCTTTCTCCAGCATTCCTGTATCCACAGACTAGTACATTTGCTATGGTCACCCAACTATTGAGTCTGCCACTTTTAAAGCTTTTCTTGAGTGATGCTGGGAAAACTGTAATTATTAGGAGCTAAGGTCTTTAATAGATGATGGTACCAAAGAATACTTTTTATGTCTCCCTCACATGTCCCTCAGAACCTTCATTTTCTCTTACTGGCCTCCTCTCATGCCAGCCACCACATACTTTAAGATCAAGATCAAAATATGCAAGTTTTTAGCTGCAAGGTAATTTTCACAAGAGTTATCAGAAGAATGAAAAATAGGAGTTCAAAATGAAAGTGCTGTCTCAAACAGAACTGCAGCGTACTAATGTGCAAAGCTATAATAGCAATCTTAGTGCAAAAGAAAATTTAATCATGTATGAAATATACTTGACGTGCTCATTTGAAAACATTAGTACTAATGATAAATCCATTTTTTTTTTCATGTTTCTAATTTTATACTGGAACTCTCTTGAAAGTACAGAATCTAAGTGATCTAAAAATAGAGCTGACCACATTCTTTTTCTCAACGAACAGTGCTTGCTGCATTTTAAGCTCTGTTTCTTCATTCCTGTTGGAGTTCTTTTTTAATTTCAGCTAAATGGATACCCAAACCAAAAAAAAAAAAATCTCATCTTCTCTGTCAAATTTGGTTGCAAATGGCTAATAGGTTCAAAAAACTCTAAAGCGGCCAACAAATAAATGGAAGGCACAATGCATAAACCTCCTTTCTGTAGGAAATTAGGTTAAGAGTGGAAGAGCAAGCACACATAAAAGAGAAGAAAATGAATCTAATAATTTTTGTTGTATATGAAAATAAATGCAATAAACTTGGAAGAGTTTACAGTTATGAATTACTGCTCTAGATATTTTAGGAGAACTGCTTTCAGCTAATTCCAGGCCTAAATTGTTGAGATGGATCAGGAACTCAGATTTCCACAAATGTATTGGAAACTTGGAGACTTCTATTAACTCTCAGACCTAGAAATTGAATTGAAGCTTTTGAACTAAGCTGGGTTGTAGCAGTGGACCCAGGAGTCAGTAGCTCAATTTTCTCCTTTTCAGCACTGAATTTTCCCTTGGAAATGGTGTATGTGATCCTGAAAAATGAAAGGGAAGACCCTGTCAGAAATGTTAAATATTTTGTATGGGTCCTATCACCAGATGCAGCCTGCAGGGAGCTTGTTTATCCAGCAGAACGATCTTGTTATTAGGACAGTGATGTAGTATGGTTTAGTTCATACCCTGAAATCACTCAAGGAAATAACTAAGGGAATGATATTCATTCCAGTCCCCATATTATGCTATTATATGTGGCAATAACAGGCAGCATCTTAAAATAGAGATCAGGGACTACAACCATTTGTTTGCATGCAGTACTGCATTCATTTGAATGCAGTTCTGAAATTTCAAAGCTGTTGAATTATTCAAGCATTCTCCAATTTATAAAATAATAATAATAATGTAATTGACTGTTTGATGATGTGACAATAGAAATAAAGACAGGAAAGTCTAACATTTGATAAGTCTTGAGCATTTTTTTTCCACCATTGCTTTGTGCCAGCACAAATATATATTTTGATTGTGTGGTGGCTGCAGATATAACTAATAAGGAAAACACTTGATTTTTTTCTTTAGGCAATAACTTCCTTAAAGATAAAGAAAAATAAGAAAATTCAATGAAGATAGAAATAGATCACAATTAAAGTGCAAAGCTTAAACTCAGAACCCTCAGTCAGTTTGATATTAACATGGATGGACTAACATTAAAACTTTTTCTTGTCTATTACTATTTATGAAGCAATACAGTATATGTTTAACATCTAAGTATAAATATATAAAGTTTATTTAAGGTACCAACGTCAGTAGAAAAATCCAAAGATTTTCCTGAATGTAAAATACATTGTAAATGTAATTAGTCTTTGTATCTTTGAAAATACATCCTTACATGTGTATGCAAATTTTTGTAGACTGAAAATGCACATGTACTCCATGCACCTTATACAGAGTATAAATAGGGTGTGTCAGTTGCAGTGCATGCATGCTATCTTCTGAGTATTCACAGTAATCTCATTTTTAAGGACATGAGTCTGTTTTTCCCATTTTTTAGCCTCTGTTTATACTCCGCTATTGCAATGAAATAGGAACACTTCAAGCACAGATGGACAGTTATCAAAATCACTGTGAGCACTAAAAAAAAAAAAAAATCCTAAATGTGAAAGACATCTGTGTCTTATAACGGGAATGATGAATTTCTGTTTCATCTGTCAAAACTGCATTATCACCTTCTCATATATGAAGACATGTTGACTGAGCAGTAGCGTGAGGTGTTCCCTGTAAGATATTTAAGGTATTAGAGCTTCCAGCTGTGATAAAGTTAATACGGTTCTATGTGACTTGAATGACAGTGTTGGCAGAGTTAAACGGCGTAATATTTCTGTAAATGGAAAAAGAAACAGTCATGTTCACTTCACTGGAAGACCATGCTGAAATGTTTTCTTAAAGTCATATTCAGTTATAATCTTATAATATCTGTTTTAGTACATGAAAAATAAAACAAGATCTTTTAGTATATCAAAAAAAAAAAAGAGGTTTAACGCTTTAAAGGCATGGGATGCTCTTGTCACATTACCTGCTTCTTATCTGATTTTGTACATCTTAAAGAGAGGTCATGGATAATTAAATTTTACAAAAAGTAAATGAAGATCTGTTTCTAAAGCTGAGGTTTAAAACAAAACGTACAATAGAATCCCATGGCGTTATGGGCTTGCCAGCGCTCATATTTGCTTGAATTGCTGTTCTCTTAAGCCATCTGGTAATACATACTGATGCAGTTAGTGCCAACAAACTACCAAATAGAAAATAGTTACGTTAAAATGCAATGTTGGTTGTACTTTGTGATATCAAGTTTTAATGCAATTCTAGGCATTTAGGAGTTTTTGATTTGTATTTTCTTTCCATAAAAATATCATCCAACTTAACTATTGAAGTAACTATTTTTCAGACCATTAATGTAAATACAATGGCTATGTATTTATGGGTAATATTCTCTTTAAAACTCAAGACTGAACTTTCTAAAAGTTAATTTGTGCAAAATTTTGGAAATGTTCTCTCTTTTTGCATATGAGGGTAGAATGCCTGCTAGCATGTTTATCTAGGCTTACTAAACTAGGTTGCAGATGGTATCATAAAATGGATGCTTCTTGCTACATTTTCATGAGGAATACCATGCTGAAATCAAGTCAAGGTTATCTATTCTGCATAGTTATTTCTTTATTTGATAGAAAAATGTGAAATAGAATTGGTATCATTCCGTAGTATGTTCTCATGGATTCATCAGGCTCAAGGAACCGGGGACTACTAGCACTGAACATCCCGAGAGAGAACATGCCTAGCAGACTAATATTATAAACTGAAGCGTAGTGACTTAGATAGTGAAAGGCAAGATTACAATTTGATAATAAAGTATGATGAAGAAGCTATTACCTGCTAACTTATATAATGGAATTAACATTGCTTAGAGGTGCATTTTAATTCATTCTTGGCCTTGGGGATTTAGAAGTAGAGTGAAATAGAATCAGGTCAGAGTGTGAGTGCTCTTTCAGAAAGGTAAAAAATGAAATGATCAAAAATTTAAATGTATTCTGAAATAAATGGGAGTTCATTTCTTAAGCCCTATCAGGAAGTTAATAGCGTAGCCTTGTCTCTATTCACTTTAATTTCTGCAAAAGTACATAGATGTACAATCCATGTCTTATTAGAGTCTGGTAAAGAATGCTGATTTTAGGGACTGTGGGGTAGGAAAATTGGAACAGAGCCATATTATTGTTCTCTTCTGGCCTTAGAAGTAAACATGGAAGGAAACACTCCAAGGATATATGAAATATTTCAGTTTGTGAAATCTGTTCACTGTGCAAAATGACCCTAAAGTTTTTACTTTATTTTCACTCTGTTTTTCGGTGTTGTATTGTCTTAGGTTATCACTTATGCAATGGTATCTAGTGTAAACATGTTTGTGTCTTTCTCATATTTCACTATGTATGATGAGTACTGTGGTGTTACCCACATGTAAATCTCAAAAATCCCTTTAAAGTGGCATGCTTTTCTCCCAAATAAGAGATGAAAACATTTTCTGTTTTTAGAGTGCTAATACTGCTTAATCTTGAACAGTAGCTTCAACTCTCCATTAAAATCAGTGTTCAACCGACTGTAGGGTGAGAGGCATGTTACATGAATTTAGATATGCAAAAGTTAATTGTCTCAGGTAAGCTGGTTATCTATGCTCCTGTCAAGTCAACAAAAGCAACTGACAACTTCAGAGATCGATCACAGATATCCATTTTCACATGAAATATGTTGTCCTTTGGATGTACTGATTGTTTTCAGCTGATGGGAGTGGAAGCCTGACTAACTAGCTCAGGTTGGACACCAGCTAATGGTGATGAATTCTCATTTTTGGAACGCCTTTGCGACAAAATATAAGCTTTAAATAGGAAAACATTGTAGAAAGTATCTATTTTCCTTTTGTGCTTTTTTAAAATTAAGAAAAGTTAATTTTTTGTAAAAGAAAGTAAAAAAATTATAGTAGTTCCTCCTGAGGAGCAGTTATTAGGGACTGGATTGATCCAGACTGACAGCTTTGTCTATATTAAACAGGTGAAGAATGTGCTAATTATTCTAGAATTATTGCTAGCTGGGCCAGCAAAAAATAAAAACAAGAGTCATTTTAATTAATTTGTGATGCACTTCTGGAAAGTAAGGAATTCAAAGTGAAATCTTAACTTACTCTTTTAGCTTGAAATCTTTAACTTGCTCCATTGAAAATATCTTCAGTCATTTTCCTGGCACTCCCTATTTGCATAGGTACCTTAAATGCTCTTACTGTTAAGACGGTTTCTTTTCCTCCTTTAGATCTAATCCAAACTTTTACATTCTCAGCTTGAGGCCACAGCTCCTTGTCCTAATGTCTTCTGAGACTAAGTAATTCCCTTCTTTCGTTTGTATTGTTGCCCTGAAGGTTTTTGATTAATGCGTTTCACTGATTATGATGCCCTGTGTATAACAAGGCCTTGGTGTTGCACTAATTCGATTCCAATATTTTATAACAATTCATGCTAGAGTTCCACAAGAGACGAAAAAGAGTAATTGCTCACTTATCTCAGGAATTACCAAGATTTACCACTAATTCTCTCAATAACTCTGTTCCGCATAGAAAGTAAATGATGTTAACAGTGTGCAGATGCAGTTAATTTTTTCAGTGATCAAAAGAGTACTACCAATCACTCAATGGACTATCCTACAGTAAAGCTTGCTGTATAACTTTGCTCGTGTGTGCTCTCTGAAGCCTTGCTAATGTCTTTGTTTTCTTTTTCCTCTTCTCTTTTAGCTGATGGATGCACTGACTGGTCTGTGGATTACAAAAAATACCAAGTTCTAGTGGGAGAACCTGTTCGTATAAAATGTGCACTGTTTTATGGATATATTAGAGCTAATTACTCCCTAGCCCAAAGTGCTGGACTCAGTTTGATGTGGTACAAAAGCTCTGGACCTGGAGATTTTGAGGAACCTATAGCTTTTGATGGAGCTAGAATGAGCAAAGAAGAAGACTCCATTTGGTTTCGGCCAACAGTGGTACAAGACAGTGGGCTTTACGCATGCGTTATAAGGTACTGTTTTTAATATACTGCATTGTAATGACAAAGGTACCAAACATGGAGATATTTATAGTGAGACTTTTGTGGCAAAGAAAAATGTTTTCTGAGTATGTTCCATTTTCTTCTCCTCTTGCTGACCCTTTCCTTTTCATGCTTAAGTAGAAATGATTGTTGAATGAATATCTTGAGCATTTTAAATGATTTGTTGTATAAATTTTGGGTATTTATAACAAAAGGCAAAATTTATGCATCCAGTCCCACCCATCATGGAATTCATGTATTCCTGCTTCTGCTTCTGGTTTAACTCCTGCACTCTTCTAGTACAAAAAGTTCATTATGCAAATTCAAATTTAATTTTCCATGAGTTTTTCTCAATTTTTTTTAATTCACCTTTTTATGTAAAATTTTATGCCAGTTATTTTGTGCCAGGCTTATACCACTTGATGTAAAATGGTTGCATCTAGGAAAATGGAGCATCATCGTGGTAAAGTTTAGAGATTTTTACAAGTATATCCTCTCCCATCATAGTTGATTTGACCTGATAATGGGAGCTGGGTGCCAGATATCTTCCAAAATTATTTAACCTTCTGATGGATCAAGTCTTATCTCCTTAACTTTGCATAGATTCCCATTCCTGCTTTGTGAGACAGATGTTCAGTTTCCTTCTGCATGCTAAAGTGGTTTATGCTGAGACATTGTTTCCAACCCTTTGCAATTAAAAAGGTCATCTAGGCAATCTCATATTTTCTCACATTATATTTATACTAGATGTGAAACTATGCAAATTGTACATAAAAGATACAGGGAAGATACCGTACTAATTATTCAATGGGTTGAAACAATCGGTGATTGCACTTAGATGAACAGATGAAGCAGTGTTCCTTTCTATTTCCATATCTGTTAAAATGATTTTGCTGCTAACACGCTATAGAAACTGTTAAAAAAGAAAAAAAAAGGAAAGCAGCTGAGTGACAAGGAAGGCACAATGAAGTTATTCTGAAATTGCAAAGAAAATGAGAAAAATTGTATCACCAACATCTGGAGAGTCTAGCTATGCTCAGAGTACACTTTTCTGGTGAGGCTGAGGGGGGATGCTGTCTATATCATGTGTAGTATAAGAATTTTTTACTAGATGTGTTTTTTAAAAGATTTGTTCTTTGGGCTCTTTACATAACCCACGAGGCATTTTGTATCTCATCATTTGTTCAATAGCATTTTCAGTATGATTCTGATGATGATGATGCTTTTCTTAAAAAAAAAAAACAATATTATGCTACTTATTTATGTTTAGATGAATAAGTTTTCAGATAAGTGTACAGCAGTAGCCTTGAAAATGGCAACATTTATCTTTAATTATTCAACAGTGCCATTTGAAATACCATAATTAATCCCCTCTGTTTAGAAATAGAAAAGTTTAAATATCTCGTATTGCACTTTGCAGCAATTATGAATAAATGCTGAATTTAGATAATCAGCCTTTCTGTGAAATTTGCTTATCATGTCAACTTGTATTTATTCTCTTTACAAATAGATTTATTTTTAAACTGGAGGTAGGTAAGGGCTTGTTCTAATTTGCTTTAGACAACATTCTGCTTTTGTAACACATTCCTGATTGTCCAGCTGATAATGATTGTATATGTAGATGGAGCATAGATTAAAAAAACAATACTGATTTGTCTATTATCCTAAATACTGTTATGAAGAGGTACAAAGCCTTTCAGTCTGACTAGACCCCACTGGAATAAGCAGGTATCAGTTAAAGGGTTGGTACAAAAAAATCTATCCTTGTTATTATATCAAAGTTTTATTTTTAGACACTTTTGACAGAAACTTTCGGTTGTATGATTAAGACAGTTACTGGTAGAAGAAAGGTAATCCTCGTTTCAGAATCAAATGAATACGTTATTTTATCTGTACATTATACTTACAGTTAAAGGATACTTTCAAATAGCATTGAATGCCCATGTAGAATCAAGTTTAAAACAGAATACTTTAAGTTCCTGAGTTAAACATATATTTGATGTTTTTTAATCAGAAAAAAGAAAATGAATTACTCAGGAATATAGTGCTTCAATTTTTTCTGCTATTCCTCCATATTCTTACATGAGAAACTAACCATCTGATGAAAAATACGAGAGGTTGAATTGATGTAATCTGTAAAATTATGTAGTTTATGTGTACTTGCAAAGTTATTGCTATAGACCTACAAAATGAACTTTTTCTAGCTCTCACTTCCAATAGCTGTCTTCGGAAATCAGAATACTCAGCCCTGCTGTCACTGTATACATTAATCCTGGTAGAGTATAACAAAGAATCAGGAGAAAGGTTAGTGAACAGGAACAGTAATTTCTTGCAAGAAACAAAACGGTGATTGCAGGGATGGGATTTAGGAAATTTTTCTTGCAGATTTGAAGTTTTTGTTTATTTTAATGAAGCGGATTTTAAACACCTTCAGAATGATACTATAAGCTATTTTAGTTTTGAAGACTGAGAAGCTCAGCTAGGAGGCAGAAAATGACCCAGTAGCAAACTGATGATCAGCGTGGTGCTTGCAATAACTTGTGTAGGAGAGCAGGGTGAAGAGAAGTACATGTAATGGCAGTAAGGGCAGGCAGTAAAAGGCAAATGGGCAAAAGGTAGACTGTGCTTTGAATAAATGCCTCTGTCTAGTTCTTATGTTCCAGACTTACTGCAAGGGGTGCAATAGTCCAGTACTTATTTTCTTTGCTCACAAACTCATTTCTTTACAATTCTATATCTTTGCTACCTCTGCCAACAATAGGGAAGAAAAATATATCTATTACACAGGAAGTGTAACTACTAGAGAATAAAACTGCTGGAACAGACAGTATGGCAATAAATGAAGAATATTCAAAGGTTTTGGAAGGATTTGTGGAACAAAATACATTCTGACTACAGCAGAAACATCGCATTTTCATTGAATAGAAAAGTTCACATTTTTAGTACAATTAGTCTATGGATAATAGTGAAGGCTGACTCTTTTCCCTTCATAAGTGAAGAAATAGCCTTCTTCCTTATTCACTACTGCTTGCAATACTGTCATTATTAATTTCTGATCCTCAGCTTTCTTCCTATGGGAAGCTGATTGCCATAAGAAAATGCAGAACATTAAGACAGCCTTATTATCAAGGACCTGCTGCACAGCCATAGCCAAGGGAGAGAGTATAGACAGAGCTATAAATAGCTTTTCCACTTACTATGGTCAATGCAAGGACTGTGAAGCTAACAAATGTATGGGTTTACACAGTGCTTTAAAGAAAGGAAATAATATAGTTTATTTTAGGTACAACAATGTGTCAATGTAATGCAACTTGTAGTATTCATTGCCATCTTAGGGAAGCAGAAGTTATAGAATATTAAGTCTTTCAGTGGGTGTAACATCGCATGATTATCTCTTATTTATCCTTTGTGGGCAGCATCTACAAGTAGGTAGGCCACACAAAGCGTTAATGTACATATTCAATAAAAGCTCTCAGAAAGCATATTACAGCAGTACAATGGTCAGTACCTAGCAGTTTCTGTGAGATTTTGCCTCCTTTAGTGTTGCCAAAAAGTTGAAATGTTGTTGTTCCTGTCAAACTGACATTCCTTCACGTTTTCATCTTTTCCTTTCCTGCCTAGAAATTTTTATTACAGTATGTCTAATAATGATGCAAGCTAACATCCACTCAGATCAGTGGGGGCCGAGAAGAAGGCTGGATTGTTATTTATGCTAAGCTGCTATGATGGGTTCTATTGCAAAGGATGAAATTGATTTCTATGATTCACTCATCCAGAGTTTTACATTGCTATGTCAGTAAAATGAGGTCTAGAAATCATCTTTATCACCTCATACAGTGTATGTAGGAATTCAGGTGTCTCTTTGAATTTGAATATATTCTTACCATCTAGTGATTCTGTTGTTTTTAAGCTCATATTTTAAAGCGAGGTTACTTTTATGTCTCTAACTAGAAAATTTCACGGGTTAGACCTCGGTTAGTGTATTTTTCTTTGTAGAAATTAGTGTCAACTTAAATCATTTAACATCTTCCTTTGTCCTCCATTTGTCCTTAATAATGATGATTCTATCATCTCAATTGCTTCTCCGTAGTTGGTTCTTTGTGCAGATTGATGTGTTTGGATATTTATGAACAATAATTGCTTTGGTAAGCTGAGATAATTAATGGAGAAGAATGCATAAAACCTAGTATTACTAGTATTTTTCAGATACTATTTTTCAGAATGGCTATAAAGTTAGCATTCAGTTCAGAAAGAAACAGGTGACCACAGAGGTTAACATAATGCATTATAAATTACGTTACAGGTGTCTGTTAATCTTCACGAAAGGTCTTTTCCAACTTTGAACACATTTGAAATAAATTCATTAGTTATTCATCAACCTTAAAAATATTGCTTATAGTTCATTTGGTAATATTCAGCTTTGAAGGTTCAAATTCAGATGTGACTGCCAGGTTCAAGCTGGGAATAGCACCTACTGGAAAAGGTTCAAATCTGTTTTCCATGCAGTCAGAAACACAAATGAGCACGTGCTTGAAAATCTTTAACTATTTCTTAGTCACACACAAACATAGCATTTTAGAGGAAAAGGTAAAGACTGAATTTTTCAGATAAGCATGTGGAGTTTTCTGTTTTTACTTCTGAAAGGGAAGAAAGAAAACAACCACAAGGTGCTAAAACAAAGTCAGATCATGGACCAGTTCTGTATTTAGCTTCATCATCCTTGCTAAGGTCTTGTACATGCGAAGATAGAGATCTCAAACCTAACAGTGCTTCTGAGTCATTTTTAAAGTGAGCTTTAATCTTTGCTGTTTAGCTATACTTTTAAATATCTCTACTCAACTTAACAGCAGTTGCATCTTTTATTTTTATATTTACACATACATATATATTTACAAATACACACATTCTGTTACTGACTTACATAACTTCCCTGCCATATAGTTCAGTTAATATGTCATGTCTGTTTGGGGTAGAAATAGAATAGCCTTGGA